TCGATCTTCACGTACCAATGTTCTTCTTTTCTGCTTCTATTAACCCAATAAATATGATCAAGAGCTAATTATATATGATGTATTATTATGTATAATTATGTATTATTATATATAATTATGTATTATTATGTATTATTATGTAAAATTATGTATTATAATATAGAGTAAATAATAATAGATCTAATAGCTATATAGCTAATAGATAGACACACTAGCTCACTTAGCTCACTAGAATAATATTATTCATTCCTGGTATTATTATGTATTATTATGTATTATTATGTATTATAATATAGAGTGAGTAATAATAGATCTAATAGCTGTATTGCTAATCGATAGAATAATTCTCACTAGAATAATATTATTCACTCCTGGTATTATTATGTATTATTATGTATTATTAGCTCTTGATATAATAAAGACTATCGGATGCATTGAATGACAAACACCAAGCACCACTTAAAGTACGAGGCTGGGTGACCGTTTGCCCAACTTGCCAATATATTTGTATAACTATCATTGTAATTATAATAATAAATCGTTACCCTCGTATTTAGGGGGGGGGGGTATAAGTCGCGAGTTGGTTATTGAAATCGTAATTCCGTTGAGTAAGTTTAACTGTAAAACATACACGGATAAGAAGTCGGTCTCGCTCGTTCTCTCGTCGCGCACATTTTTTTACATGCTCGACGACTATTTCTGTTTTCTGTTTCGTTTCGTTTCATTTATTTTCTACGCTTTTGTCTCCAGCCCGAGGGATACCCGTGCCAGTTCCGACGATATGCATCACAGACGAAACCAGATGTTAGCTCGTGCTGCCACCTGTAGGACTAGAACTCGATGATAAGCGATTCGGCAAAGAAACGTTATCATCGAAATAATAATAAATATGATTACTATCGGTAGTGAACGCTAGCAGTGCACTCATGTTATTCATATTCTCGCATTTGATCGGATCCTGTTCGGTTCGCATGCTTTCATATATCGGCAATATTTGTTGTGGGAGTGAGTTGGAGAAGATTCGGGGTTGCTTTCACGCATGCGCAGGTGATTCCCGATGCTTGGAGTACGGACGGATATACAAGTTACTGATTGTTGCGCTTGGCTCTGTCTTTGCTAAAAAATCATAGGCTGCACTAGGCCTTCGGTTTAAGCTTCGGTTTAAGCTTCGTATGGAATGCAGACTGTAGGATCACGCGCGCGCGCATGCGGATTGTCATTATCTGACGTTTAACAGAAGTCTATGTAAATAATATCTAGTTTATAACGAGAATTACAAACGACGCATGTGTTGCTGTATGATTCGTCAGAGCGAGAGATGGCCGTGAGAGACCTTGCGTGTCACTTTAGACTGACTCCAAGACTCCAAGCGTATCCGTGGCTGTGCGCTCAACACCAATCGTCGATTCTTATCGACTATCGGAGCCAGTCTATACGTTCCCTTCAAGTTTGGACTGTGACCACGCACGTCTTAATTGGAAGCTGACTTCGAAGTGTGTCTAGGTTGATATATATAAGGTGCGTTCACACTGGCGCGAATTAGCGGGCTGCAAAACCCGGTTTTTGCAGCCCGCTCGAAAAACCGAGCTTTTTACAAGTTGTGAACGCAATTAGCCTCACTAATCGCCGCCTCAAAATATCGCGCGCTGCAAAGAAACACTGTCCGACTGCCTAATTTGAATAGCCGCGCTTAATTTGCGCCGCGGCGCCTGGTTATCCCGCTCGGCGAGTAGCGAGATATTTTACCGCCTGTGTGAACAACGACACAATTAGCTCACTATTATCTCCGCTATTGCGGGTATGAGCAGCGCCTGATTTTTCTGCGACCTCTGTGTGTGAACACGCCTAGTTGGTGTTCTGGTGTTGTGCAAGCGACTTAAATAAGCCTTGCCCAAACTGGTTAAGTTTAGCTAAGTAAAGTAGATGAGGTCGTGGTAAGCAGCCTGCCATCTTACCGGACATCCAACAAACTTGTGCTAGCTACTAAGTGCAAGAACTCGAGAGCAAAACTGCTGTATTTTTGTTACTAAAGCAAAACTCGGCATATTAGCCTGGTGTTATTAAATATGCACCGATCGTATATTAAACCAGTGAAAACTACAAAAACATCTCGATGGGGATTTTTTTCGCTTTTCGCGCTCGTCATTAGCAGAGATAGTGTATGGATCAGACATATCAATGGATGACCGGCCGGCATGCGTTAGGCAGCACCACACGCCGTCCCACACACCACACCACACACACCACACACAACACACAACACACACACACATCACACACACCAACACACCACAACACACACACAGCACATACGTGTATTTGGTGGCAAATGGGGACGCGAGCGCCAAGACACACACACTACACACACACATCACACACACACACACACACACATCAACACGACACACACACACCGCGCCCCGCGCGCACATCACTCGCTACGCACGCCACGCATATCACACAACACACACAGCACCACACACACACACACACACACACACACACACACCACGGAACACGCACACACACACGGCCACTCGCACTGCCGCTCCGCCCGCACACACACACCACACGACACCACAAGACACACCCACGCTGCGCGCGGCCGCACATTCGTACGCACGCACGGCCAGCACGCACACGGCACCGCACACGCACACGCTATACGCACGCACACACGCGCCACGCACGCACACACACACACACACCACACAACACACACACACACACACACCACAGACTCACACCACACGCACACGCACCACACACACACCACACACACACACACACACACACACACACAACACACACGCCTAAGCACGCACGCACTGCAGCACACACACGGGGCACGGGCCGATCTATATGCCCTTTTTCCCGACGTTTTTGAATCGAGCTAACTGTTGCCATGCGCACTTGCGGGAGCACGAGTCGGTAAAAATTTTACCGCGACATTGCGACAAATGATTCAACACCAGCCCCCGGCGAATAATTGCTCTGGTGTAACTGACATTGTTCGCGACTATTAACACCAACCACATTAACAAGAGCAATATGCGCGGCGCGGGGTTGAACATTTTCATCAATACAATTTTAAACATTTTAGCGATCGTGCTCGCCCGCTAAGCTGTCTAGCGAAGGCTCTCGCATCCTTCCGTTACAGGTTCTCATTTAGTAGGTGGCCGTTAGTGGCACCGTTTTCTAGGGTGACCGCCAAGGTTGCGTCGGATACAGATAACAGAACCACAGTATTATTCGCAACACACACTACTGCCTCGGTGCGTTCTATTTCACTCTAGATCAAACCACAATCATTTACGATACAGTATACACCGATGTCTCCGGCGTTCGTAACACACTCGCCGCCGCGTGTGCGCGTGTAATCGAATACCAAGTAATGTCGGTATACCCTTATAGAGGCTTGTGCGGGTTCGCGGAAGGGGCCGCCGGGCGGGGTGAAGGAGGGTCCGACTGGAGGGTTAGCAGCGGGGAGAATGCTATCGCGTGGAATACGGGTGTAGCAGCTAGCAGCGAAAACGCGGGACTTGCGGGACGCGCAAATGGTGAGAGCGAGATGATACTTGGGGAATAACCTCACTTGGCAGCATCGCGCCTCGAGTCATTAGTTACTGCGGACGCTACGCGGCGTGTGCGTATAGTGTGTTGCCTACGAATGATTGCTGACCAAGCTTATCTGTNAACCTCCGACGTCGTCCGGCCCCGCCGCCAGCGCCACCCTACCAGCGACGATGCGTGAGACGTGACGCCGCCTGGCGGACGAAGCAACATGAGGAGAGAGAGCTCACGCGCTCACACGCTCGTGACCGTCGCGGCCATTTTCGTCGGCGCGATCTTTCACGCCGTGGTCGTCGTCGCCGCCGTCGGCGACAGTGACTATTTCTTCGGCGGTTCGGGCAGCGACGCCCTGCCTCGTCTCGACGACGCTCCCGTCGTCGGCGTCATCGGCCGCTCCTCGCCCATACCGTTCTTCGAGACGGTCGACTACGGAGACGACGTCGGCGGCACGCGAGAGGGCGCCACCGGCGACGCGGCGCCCGTAGGCGACGCGGAGGGTGTGGCGGCCGCGAGCGGTAGCGGCAACGAGGAGGGGGAGGATGCGGAGAGAGAGGGAGAGGGGGAGGAGGCCGAGAAGGAGGGAGAAGGGGAGGAGGCGGAGAGTGAGGGAGTGGGGGAGGAGGCTGAGGAGAAGGCGGAGGGGGAGGACGCGGAGAGGGCAGAGGGGGAGGTCACCGATGGAGGCCCCACGGCGACGGACGTTCCCGATGGCAATGCTACACGCCCTGCAGCGGGAACGGACTGGAACGCAGCGCCGCCGAGTGGCACGTTTCCGGTGCGAGCCGGGAGGGCGTTGTTTCCGGTTCGGGTGCCCGGTCGGTGTCGATCATGGGGCGTTTCCGCGTGAAACTGGTTACCTCTGGCGTCGGTCGCGTCGCACCTGCGCCCGGACCGATGCGGAAGACGCTGTAGAGCGAGTAGAGACCGAGCAGCGCGAAGGCGGCGCCGACCGCGTACACGTGTAGTTCCCACGCCTCCCGCCAGGTGCGCTTCGCGCGCTCCCAGTCCGGCACGGGCTCGGCGTGCGAGAGAACGAAAAACGGGTTCGGCCACGCTGTTGCCTCGGCAACCGCATCCCCGCCGGTGGCGTCGGCGCCGCTAGCGAACAGCGCGACGACGACGTCGGTCGCCAGCACGAGCGCGAAGTGGCCGACGACGGTCGCGGCGAGCGTCGGCACGCTCTGCACGCGCGCCGACATGACGCGCAGCCGCGTGGCGCGCAGCAGCGCCAGGAAGACAACGCTGAATGCCGACGTGAGGCAGGGGAAGGCGATCGCCTGCAGCAGGTAGGCGGCCCACGGCGGCAGCGTGCGGCGCGCGTTGTAGGCGTCGACGAACATGTAGCAGGCGCGCGAGAAGCCGAGAGCGAGCAGCAGCAGGTTGAGCGCGACGAAGTAGCCCTTGCCGACGACGTGGACGTCGGCGTCATGATGTTCGTCTGCCAGGTGGCGTACGTCGGCTGGTCGGCGACGCTCGCCGTCGGCTACATGTGCGTGTCGCTTCACGGCGGCCGCACGCAGACGCGCGACGACGACGCGCGCGATGGCGACCTTCGGCCAGCGCTTGACCGACGCGACGCCCGAGATGGTCAGATCGGTGAGGCTCGCTCGCCGCACCTCTTTCTCGTCGTCGCGCTGCTCGCCGCGTCGCTCGGCGTCGTCTGCGCGGCGCTGCAGGCGTTCGCCGTCGTCGTCGTCTACGGCGTTCGCTCGCCGACGCCGCCCGCCGCCTGGCCGTGGTGGGGCTACCAGCTCGGCTTCCGTGCCTGCGAGCTGGCGATGGCGTCGACAATCAGCTACGTCGCCACGCGGCCGCTCTACCGACGCAAGCGCGCCCCCTGCTGCGGAGCCAGTGCCGCCCTCTGCCGACCGTGGCGACGCAAACCGAAGGCGGCGCCTGGCGGCGACAGCAGTCCGTTCTGGGTGGAGAGCAGCGCGGGGCGCCACCTGGTGGACAGCTTTTACGGCGAGAAGCTGCGACGACCCGAGGAGGACCGGCTGCCGCTGCGAGCGATGGAGGCGCCCCCTGGTGGCGGCACGCCGGCTCGCGCGCTGCGGCCGACGTCGGACACGTCGGAGAAATCGCGGTCGTCGCGGTCGTCGCGCGAGAAGGCGTCGCGGCCGACGTCCATGATCGTCAGCGACAACGGCTTTATCCGCTTCCGCAAGGTGCGTGACGCGCACGCACGCACGCACGCACGCACACACACACACACGCGCGCACTCACACACACACGCACGCACGCACGCACGCACACACACACGCACGCACGAGCGCACACACACACATAGGCCCTGGTGGTGGTGGTGGTGGTGGTGGTGGTGGCGGGGGGGGGGTGTTGCTGCTATTATTATTATTATCATCATCATCATCATCATCATCATCATAATCATCATCATCATTGTATTTCCCATTGCTGCTACAAACAGCCTCTCTAACGACTCTCCCGTTTCATTTCTCTCCCCTTCTCCCACACTCCACAGGACACGATGGATATCGGAGAGGGCATTGAGATGACGGACGAGGAACAGACGGACCTGGATTCCAGCACGCCAACGAGCCCCTACCGCGGCTGCGACGACAACACCGTCGGCTGGACCACCCCCGCCGCCGGCGGCAGCTACACCTACCGGCAGGTCCCCGAAGCTGACCGCTGGGAGTCCCCGCCGCTGGTCGAGGGAGAGGATGAGGAAGAGGAGGATGAGGGAGAGGGGGACTTCGCGGGGTTTCGGCCTCCGTCGAGCATTAATTTGAACGCGAGCATAGAGGAGGAGCTCAACCAGCGGCTACTGCGCGAGTACAACCGCATACGCGGTTTCTCGAGCTTCCGGCGCGCGCCGTCCATGGTCACGGTGTCGCCTCCCGGCGACGACGACGACGACGACGACGACGACAACGGGGACGACCGTCACGCTGCCTCGATGGTAGATCTCGACGCGAACGTCGCCGACAGGGGGCGCTGCGGCGGCGACAACCGCTCGTGCGTCTCGCTGCGGGAGCGCGCGGCGGCGGCGCCGGGGGTCATGGTGAGGTCAAACAGCGACGTGCCGATCCGGCATGCCGCGGCGACGTCGGCGGCGACGTCGTGGGAGAGGTATCTGCCGCTGCTGGCGGCCGGACACGCGGCGACGACGTCGGCAGAGAGACGTCGGCTGGGCAGCCAGATCTCAGGTATGTGCAGCGAGATAGGACGCTTCGTCGACGACCGCTGGGACAGCATCGTCGAGCTGTAGCCGTCGGTGGGGCAGACTAACAACTAGTGGCGCCATCTATCGATAAGGAAAGAGCATGGTTGAGCTGTCCGGCGACTAACAACTAGTGGCGCCACCTGTCGACGACAAAAGAGCACTGTTCAGCTGTCGGGTGACTAACAACTAGTGGCGCCATCTGTCTATGGCTTATTGTAGCATGGCTGCATGTGGTTATAATCAATCAGACAGATACTAACAACTAGTGGCGCCACCTGCTGGAACTGTAGCCTTCGCAACTGTAGCCTGCATGTCGAGACAGACCTCATTGGGACTAATAGCTAGTGACGCCACCTGACGGGACTGTAGCCTGCATGCTGAGGGACTATCTTCGGTGACTATCTAAAGTGACTAACCTCTTGATCACTATCTGTGGATCAGGAATTGTATGCGTATTGTAAAAAGGGACATGTTAACTTGCACCTGCTTCTAATATAATAAGTCGATCTTCACGTACCAATGTTCTTCTTTTCTTCGTTTATTAACCCAATAAATATGATCAAGAGCTAATAATATATGATGTATTATTATGTATTATTATGTATTATTATGTATTATTATGTATTATTATGTATTATTATGTATTATTATGTATTATTATGTATTATTATGTATTATTATGTATTATTATGTATTATTATGTATTATTATGTATTATTATGTATAATTATGTATTATTATGTATTATTATGTATTATTATGTATAATTATGTATTATTATGTATAATTATGTATTATTATGTATTATTATGTATAATTATGTATTATTATGTATTATTATGTATTATTATGTATTATTATGTATTATTATGTATTATTATGTATAATTATGTATTATTATGTATTATTATGTATAATTATGTATTATAATATAGAGTGAATAATAATAGATCTAATAGCTATATAGCTAATAGATAGAATAATTATCACTAGAATAATATTATTCACTCCTGGTATTATTATGTATTATTATGTATAATTATGTATTATTATGTATTATAATATAAAGTGAATAATAATAGATCTAATAGCTATATAGCTAATAGATAGAATAATTCTCACTAGAATAATATTATTCACTCCTGGTAGTATTATGTATTATTATGTATTATAATATAGAGTGAATAATAATATATCTAATAGCTATATAAATAATAGATTGAATAATTCTCACTAGAATAATATTATTCACTCCATGGTATTATTATGTATTATTATGTATAATTATGTATTATTTATTATTAATTATAATATAGAGTGAATAATAATAGATCTAATAGCTATATAGCTAATAGATAGAATAATTCTCACTAGAATAATATTATTCACTCCTGGTATTATTATGTATTATTTCGTATTATTAGCCCTTGATATGATAAAGACTGTCAGATGCATTGTATGACAAACACCAAGCACCACTTAAAGTACGAGGCTGGGTGACCGTTTGCGCAACTTGCCAATATATTTGAATAACTATTATTGTAATTATAATAATAAATCGTTACCCTCGTATTTATGAGGGGGGGTATAAGTCGCGAGTGGGTTATTGAAATCGTAACTCCGTTGAGTAAGTTTAACTCTAAAACATACACGGATAAGAAGTCGGTCTCGCTCGTTCTCTCGTCGCGCAAATTTTTTACATGCTCGAAGAATGTTTTTGTTTTGTGTTTTTGTTTCTCTCATTTATTTTCTACGCTTTTGCCTCCAGCCCGAGGGATACCCGTGCCAGTTCCGACGATATGCATCACAGACGAAACCAGATGTTACCTCGTGCTGCCACCTGTAGGACTAGAACTCGATGATCAGTGATACGGCGGAGAAACGTATCATAAAAATAAATAATAAATATGATTACTATCGGTAGTGAACGCTAGCAGTGCACGCATGTTATTTATATTCTCGCATTTGATCGGATCCTGTTCGGTTCGCATGCTTTCATATATCGGCAATATTTGTTGTGGGAGTGAGTTGGAAAAGATTCGGGGTTGCTTTTACGCATGCGCAGGTGATTCCCGATGCTTGGAGTACGGACGGATATACAAGTTACTGATTGTTGCGCTTGGCTCTGTCTTTGCTAAAAAATCCGGTCTTTGCTAATTCGGTTTAAGCTTCGTATGGAATGCAGACTGTAAGATCACGCGCGCGCGCATGCGGATTGTCATTATCTGACGTTTAACAGAAGTCCATGTAAATAATACCTAGTTTATTGCGAGAATTTGACAGATTTTGTCGAGTATATTTTCCAAACGACGCATGTGTTGATATATTATTCGTCAGAGCGAGAGATGGCCGCGAGAGACCTTGCGTGTCACTTTAGACTGACTCCAAGACTCCAAGCGTATCCGTGGCTGCGCGCTCAACACCGATCGTCGATTCTTATCGACTATCGGAGCCAGTCTATACGTTCCTTCAAGTTTGGACTGTAATTGCGCACGTCTTAAATTGGAAGCTGACTTCGAAGTGTGTCCAGGTTGATATATATTGTGTCTGGTGTTGTGCAAGGGACTTAATAAGCCTTCCAACTGGTTAAGTTTAGTAAGTAAAGTAGTAGGCCGGGTAAGAGCTGCCATCTACCGGACATCCAACAAACTGTGCAGCTACTAAGTGAAGATCGAAGCAAAACGTGTATTTTTGTACAAAGCAAAACTGCATAGCTGTGTGTATTGAATGTGAAGATGTATATTAAACCAGTAAAACTACAAAAACATCTCATTGGTCATTTTTTTAGTTTTTCGCCTATTATTAGCAGGATAGTGTATGGATAGACATATAGATGGATGGACCGTCGGATGGTCGGGCACACACGCACACACACACGCACACGCACACAGACAGACAGACACACACACACACACACACGCGCGCGCGCACGCACGCACGCACACACACACACACACACACACACCACCACAGACACACATACGCACACAGACACACACACGCACACAGACACACACGCACGCACGCATGCACACACACACACACACACACACACACACACACACACACACACACACACACACACACGCACGCACACACACGCACACACACACAAGGGGTGGAATCGATAACAATTCACGTAACTTTATTGCATTTATTTACTGTCCCCGCGTCATTGTACCGATGTTTAGCACGAACAACATCCAAACGCGGCATGTTGTCATCTTCTGTACACAGAAGCCGATAGATCTTCGCGCATCGGAAACGAAAAATATATCGCCACATACGCCATTATACAAATTACCAATTCCATTACTCACAATAAACAACGTAGCGACACGTATACTGAAATTCCATAGAAATATATGGAGACACTAGTCTAACTAATATTATTTCTATGTGAAATGCCACGATGGGCCCCGTCATACAATAGTTACCGAACGGACGATTGATAAAACAATGTACGTAATAAATCACTCACGAATAATTGGAAGCGAGGCTTTATTATTGATAGTTTATTATTGATGTGTTTATATTAAATTACTTAATGAAATTTATATTATTAAATTCACGTGTACCGCATGTCCGGCATTTCCGGACGTTATTCCATAGTATACTACGGTTAATAATAATATATTATATATGTATATATATACATATATAGGGATATATAACATATACAATATACCATAGTAATACTATGCTTATAAGCTGAAAGGAAGCAGCTTAGACAGACAGTCAGACACGTATTAACAATAAAGCTAGTCGTGCGTAGTTGGTCGCCGAATGCAAAGACGACGAGATTGGAAAGAATGTAGTTATAGAATGAGTGTGTAATAACCTACAACAACCGCGATATAGGTTTATTTATTATATTAAACTTTCACGATTAAGTAATACGTGAATAAATCAAGGTTTTACACAGGATAAGAATTAATACTGAAGACACTCGTCTCAAAAACCATGCTTGTAATATACGCTGACCACTCACTATTATTCTCAATGACCGATGTTCGTCATCGCCACCTATATGACCTCTGCAGTCGCCCGTCGCTAGCCCTGTGCGTTGTCGAGCGAATTCACCCCGCAAACTCTCCCATTACATTCGTTACAGTCATATAGTCATTACAGTCGATATCCTGATCTCTATTAGGTACGGACAGACTGCAAAATTTGATCCCACATCAAACTAGTCCGGGCCAAGCCCGGGCCAGGCGCGCGTTAAATGGCAGCGTACAGACACAAAATACTGAAGCGTATAAATGGGAACGGGTTGACTGTGCACGCTCAGTTGAGCTTGTTACGTCACTTAGTAGACAGCTAGTGTACATTTACGTGAACTAAGTAGGGCTATGCGCATGCGTATTGAGAAATAGCACGTCTCGCGCGTTCCTCTGTCGTCACCTGTGAGTACCTACACATCACACGACCGGCTGACGTCAGCGGAAGCCGCAGACAGACCACTAGGGGGCGCTGCTGCTGTGGTGCTCTCGCTGTTTTCCGCCACGTAGGCAGCAATGGCGCCCTCTACGATGAGCATCTCCACGGTGCGCGTGGAGGGTGCCGGGGTACGGATCCTCCTGCTCACGTGATGTATGACGATCTCCACCAGCAAGCAGACGGCAGCGCCCCCTATACCCATGACGAGAGTCAGGAACAGACTGCGGGTGTGCGAGAAGGAGAGCGACTGGGCGCCGACGACGGGCGGGTAAAACTGAAGACAGTCTTCGGCTCCCTCTGGCAACGTCTCCTTCTTCCACTTATTGATAAATCCTCGCTCTGACAGCGTCTGAATGCCGTAGTTAAGCTGCTCCGTGTAAGGAAAGTGCTTGGGCACGGCGAAGCCTCGGTATCCGGGGTAGAAGTAGACGGGCACCCGCGTGAATCGGCAGTGGCCGTGCTGTAGGTAGTCTTTGGCGAAGAAGAGGATGGCGAGAGTCTTGTCGCTGATGAAGCTGTAATCACCGGACAACACGCGCTCGTACGCCTCCTCTTTTGAATCGATGATTGCGCCATCGTCTACTACGCGGCGCCACAATTGACCGAGGTCAGATTCGGGGTCACTGTTGGAGAGCAGTTGCTCTTCTGATTGGTCGCGATTGAGGAGCGGTGTCAGTGGACTAGTGGCGGCCTCTTGTATGGATGTAAACGGGTAAGAATGGCTGTGTTGTACCGATTGATTGCTGACCAGCTTGGCAGAGTAGGTCGCTGTTATGACCAGAGCAAACAGCCACCACCATCCGACCAGCATCCGTGACGGAATGTCGACAGCGTTATACGTGCCGCCCTGCTGCAGCACGGATCCCAGCTTGAACATCAGGCACCTGCCGAATGCTTGCAACTTGTTTCCGTGCTGCTGTCTCTCCCTCCTCCCTCTCCACATCTCGTAGAGCGTCAGTGTAGCGACGCTAGCGGCCATGTAGCAAAATACGAACAGCCACGTGATGCGATGGAATGGAGCGAGTATCGTCAGCGGTGTTGTATCCTCGTCCACCACCTCCGCACGGATTATGAAAGTGTAACGGGATTCGTCTAGCGGATGCAGAAAGGTCACAAACCGATGCCGTCGCTCCGTCATTCGCAGATACGCTGCGATGTCTATCTCTCCCGCTCCCATCCCGGCGACTATGCCGTCAAAGCCGTAGCAGCGTGCCGTGACGGTGTAGGTAAAGTACATGAACGTAGACAGCTCTTGGAGAACGCGCGATGCCAGAGTAAACTCGGCGTTCTTATGACACG